AAAAAAAAATACATAGATCATCTGTTGCATAGTGCTCTAATTTCTTTCACTTTCTCTCCAGCTGTTATACATATGTCCTCATTCTTTTTCTTTTCTTCTCTGTTCAGCTGTTATACATATGTACTTGTTCTGTTGTTTTCTTTTCTGTCCAACTATTCTATATGTTCTTGTTTGTTTGACCTACTTTTTCTAACCGACGTCTTCTCTGAATAAGAAGAATCATTGTTTTAATTCTTCTTATTGTTCATTCTCTAAATTAATTATGAGAAATAGTTTTTTTTTTCCATATATTTATTTTTTCAAAGTTAATGACCTACTTTATTGTTATATATTGATTTGTGAAAAGTTTTATAATTAAACTTTATAATGATCCTCGAATTAGCGACTTATTTCGATAGAAATAAATTACATAAGAATCTTGGTTACCGTTGAGTTGTTTCCAAAAACTTCATTAAAACGATTTTCGAGCAGATAACTTGAAAAACACCAAAACAATTGAACAGAAACGATCTATGAAAAATCCTATATTTTTGTCACTTTTTATCGAAAATCCTATGTTTTAGACAAACTCAATCCTATAAGGATTCCTATATTTTTAAAAAATCGCAATCGGAGGCCAGGGTATAATAGATATGGCCTTGTCTACACTAGAAAATTTAATGCCGAATTAAGGAACTTGATTGGTCGAAAAGTTAATGCAGATTTAATGCACTTTCGAGAGACGAATTAACTTTAATGCTCCAATCAAATTGATATTGTTGACACTAATGAAAATTGATGCCGTGTGCCTCCATAAAATCACTCGGAATACAAAAAAATATATATTTACACAATAAAAAAAAAATGTAACACGAAAAAAAGAAGAATAGTCGATATAAAATAAGATAAAATTTTAAAAACACCAAAGAACAACGTAATAATTAATTTATTTTCTGTAGAGACTAATGTGACAGAACAATGGTTGGAGATCATACATTATCTGTCAAAAATCTGTCAAAAATCTGTCAATTTTGTTCAAAAACTTACTAATTCGTAACGACAGTCTTCGAAAAGGGCATTATTACTGAATTAGGCAAAAGAAATGTAGATTGCATCACTTTTCAATAAATTGGTCGTATTGTCAGTATTATTGAGAACTTAAGTAATATTTTACTCTGTCATAATGAGCGTAGTTCTTCCTGATACTACAATTTTTGCCTATATTATCCTCAATATCGTGATGAACTATTAATTTATTATTAACAAAAAACTATTTGATCTTGAAACCTTGAAAAATTATGGCTTTTCGTCTAATATGCCTAAAGTTTTCTTTCAGTAAACATCTCTGTATTCAATATGGATGGCTCATCGACTGTCAGTCATAATTTTTACAAAATTATATTGAACAAAACGTTTTTCTAAATAATAAACACTCCCATTGTTACATCTTACTTTGGTTTTTTTATATAAAAATAAATCAATACTTTTTGCTTTGTACATTAAACTTTCAGATGAATTCTCAATTTGTTCGAATAATTCTTCCCACGAATAAAAATATTCAGCTGCTTGCTCCATTACAACAATCAACATTACAGCATCCTCAATCGTGCATATCTGGACAGATCCGTCTGATTAATTCAAATGCTTCAGTTATGATACCTGCAACTGCATCTTCACCATTGGAAGCTAATGTTGCATCACGTTTACCTCTATCTTCATCGAATACAAATCAACAAATATTGCAACAAACGTGTTCATCAATAGAAGTAGCAGCTTCGTGTCAAGATCGATTAGAAACATCGAACATGGCTGAAACTGTTGCATTCGAGAATAATTCTGTACAATCTGATCCAATATCAAATATAGGTAAAAGTTTCAATTACATTTGTTATGGATGTGTTGTATATCTGGATGTGGCTTTGAGTGTAAAAGTCAAAAATCTTTGCCTTACTCTATAAGCAAGCATAATTTTTTTTGAATCTCTTTACAAGTTTCTTTGCATGAAAGCATATATTGTATGGCACATTTTTTGTTTGTTATATTATAATTGAAATGGTTTTGTACACATCTTTGTTTACAGATAAAAATTCACTTGAAGTCATGTCTTCATCCTCACGGTCAACTTCTGCAAAAAGACATCATGTACCGTCTTGTCAATCAGACAAAATATGCATCCAAAAAACGTTAACAAAGGAGGAAAACGAAGAAACCTGTAAGCCATTTTTTTTTATATTTAAAAAGGCAGATTTTCATGTTGTACAGGTCAAAAAAAATTCAAACGTAGTAAAAATTGGTCTGAAGAGGAAACAGCTATTTTTATCAACATATGGAGCGACCATTACACAAATTTGATGACTGGTGGATCAAGAAATTCTCCGATTTATCAATCCATGGCGCAACAACTTAAACAATTGTTGCCAACAAGAGTAATGACAGGTGCTGATGTAAAATCGAAAATAACCAATCTTGTTGCCGAGTATAGAAAAAAGAAGAAAGAACAAGGTAAAACAGGTAGTAGTCCATCGTCATGGCGATATTTTGATCAGATCGATAAACTTCTTGGTAACGGAACTTTTTCCATTTAAGTTTCATTTATATCCTTATTTATCTCATTGACCAGGTGAAAGACCATTCAATGATGAGAGTCTTATGTCTGATTCAATATCTCTTCAGCAGGAACAACTTCTTCAAGATATTGAAAATACTTCAGTTTCTGATTTGCATCTCAATTCATTTTCTGAAGATACTGATGATAATATATCAAGTATAATCAATGAAATTGAAGAATCTACAAATGATATTGAAAATCGATCATGGACCTCAAAGAGTCCATCTAATTCATCATCAACACAAAAAAAAACCTCCATGAACACACCTGATGTATCGAATAAGAAAACTTTTTTATCAAAAAAGAAAAAACCAGCAGATATGCGGTAAATGTATTGTATCGTTAACACTTAACATTATCTGAAATTTTTATTTTTAGAATTGATCTCATACAACAAATGATTAATAAAATTGATAGTGCTAACGAGATTGCTGCTAGAGCAGAAACAAAAGCATTAGCTTTATTGGAAAAACAAACGAAATTACAAGAAGAAAGCTTGAACAACGAAAAAGAATTTTTAAATGTCTTTAGAACTATTGCAAGAGGTTTTAATACATTTCCGTAAATATTCTTATATGATTTATTTCCTACTCTTGACTGTCTTAATGAATATACAGGATGATTGAAAAGTAAATCCCTATTTTAAATCCTTTATTATTCTTGAAAAAGAAAAGACATGATAATATTTTTTTTACTGTTTTGGAGCATGGTCTATGCCATTTTCTTTTATATAAGAAAGACCATTAATTGGTTGAGTGT